TTTAGTGAGGACCAATGCGTGATCCAAACTAGTGCTCCACACGTATGTTTTTGCTGTGTCATGCAAACACGTCGGCTTGTACATTTAGTGCTAACTTGATTTCACGTCAAAAAAAAAGAACGGATTTAATGCAAAAAAAGTTCCATATATACCAGCTTTTTTCACGGTGAATCGTTTACGTTAGCTAAAATTGCAATTATTATGGTCAAGAAAATGGATATTGGCGATGATTCACCCGTGTCGCCACATTAATCTGTAACAACAAATATCTCGGCAACCCCCCCCCCCCCCCCTTCCCAAGCATGACCTAGAAATCCACTTTCGGAAAAATATTTCACCTCTAGCAAGACAGGAGTTGTAATGACCGAAGAGTCCGATAGCTAAAGCCCGTTCACACTCTTGCAACCTCTTAAAACTGGGTTCCTTAAAACCTCTTACAACGAGAGGACACACTGTCGCCATCTATTGGGTAGCAGTCTAAACGTAGCGGTCCGACATATTTTCTATTTCTCTCGCGCATTATCCTATCTTTCTTGGCTCGAAAAACGTTAGTCAACGTCATAAACGAGCCTTTTTTATATGTATTACGCACATTTGACCTCGGAAATCCCGAAAAACCTTCCCTCTTGTGAAATACAGTTCCAGAGTCACTGCATAGATGGCGCCAGAGTGCCAGTGTGTTCTCTCGTCCTAAGAAATTTGAAGAGGTTTTAACAAGTCTCGTCTCTCTCGGTCGTACTGCGTTGCAAGAGTGTGGACGGGCCTTAACACTCGGCCGGAATGGAGCAAAAAAAACAAACAAGGGAAAAAAAGAGAATTCTTGAGAAAGACTGCTTTAGAGAAAATAGTCAACGGTATTCCACCAGGAAACCCAACAAGTAGGGACATTAAAAATGTCTGCTTGTGAAAAAAAAAATCAGCCGCTATGCCTCCTCAAGATTTCAAAACGTAACCCAACTCAACCCACAGTGATGAACCGCAATTTACTCATTTTACACTAGTCAAAGTCTACTATAGTCACAGATAGTTGAAGAAACATGGGACGTGGCGTGTTTCGAGGATTTTATTAAAACTCCTCAGCCATTAAGGTTGAGGAATTAGCCGATGAGATCCCAGAAGACCGAATCACGAAGCAAGAAGCGAGAACGAAATAAGCCAAGCACTGCGTTTGTTGACAGTAATATAGTAAATGGTAATTTAAGAAAAATAGACCATGGCTAGTTTTGACCAGGGGTTCTTTTAGATGTCAATGGCTATATTAACTATAAAAAATTAACTGCATAACAGGCTCGCAAGCACATTACATTCGAAAAATATTGTATTGGGCTGCGCTGCCGCTTTTCCTGCTGACGTCACGGCTGTCGAAAAGCAGCGCATCTTCGTCGTTGGTTTTCTCGAAGCACGCAAGTGAGTGCTTGACTACCGAATCATTTTTCCTGAGCGCTGCCATAGTGACAGTGCTGTGCGACAATGGACTGTCAATAAATGCCGCATTCTCCTTTCTGCGCCTTCACGCATTACCTATCCAGTTGACCGCGCACGTTTTACTACTCTACGAGGTGCGTGTGTCTGTTTGTGTGTGTGTTTGTTTGTATATGTGTGTGTCTGTGTGTGTGTATATGTGTTGGTATGTGGGGCGTCTGTGTTGTTGCTGTTGTTGTTTCGGTGTGAGCGGAAAAAGCGTCGACACCTTGCATCAGACACTGCCGCATGACGAGAAGAGCTACGGGTTGCATCATCTACACCTCGCCGAAAGAACACAGAGAATTCCATCAGTCGCCCCCGGCGCTGCGAACACCACGGGAACATTAGAACTCCGGCGAAGGCTCCTCTATCTCAGAGGGTTTTCTCGCCCTCGGAGTGCTATATAACATGGCTTTAGAGAGCCTGAAGACGCCGATCAAACTGCCGACCAGGTACTTGTATTTTCACTGTACGTGTAAGTTCTATTTCACTAACCCCCTCCAGGCCTGCTTCTTCTAGGATCAGCGAGCCACAGCCCGACTCCTCGTTCCGCACCTGAGATCGTCCTTTCCCAGTCACAACAATGCCCACTTCGTTCAAGCACCCACTATTAGCATTCCCAAACTTGTGAATCCAGCAAATTATACGTTAGGCGCCTAACATTAACACATAAGCGGCCATGTCTAGGTTAACCCAGTTCTCCATGAAAGCGGGATGATATTTTAAAGTTATCTCTTTCACGCAAACGCACACACTATTTTCACCCAAAAGCGCGAGAGTCCTGTATGGCCATAACACAATTTTGAAGAACTTGCATTGTGTTTAATTTACATAACGCGTTGTCTGTTCACCGCAGGACGCTTCTGCGAATCAAAAAAAAAATATTACTTTATGCCAGAGCCAGAAGTATATAACTTTCTCACCATCTTCTGCGAATTAAGGTGATCATTGCGAGTGTGAACGTGATTACTCCTCCTTATCCTATGGATGGTGTTTTGAAAGCATTTCGAGATTGAAGCTTTTTCCAGAGCTGCTGCACTTGTCCGCTCCCACTCCCTAGAATTCAATTTCCGCTGTCGTCATATTCGGCTTTCAGTATCAGTTCGTGTCTGAGCTCGTAATTCTTTCTCTAGGGCGTATTATTTTTTCTTCAGCATCTGTAGTTTGAATTATTGTGAAGTTGCCATAGCATATACACACAGGGAAAGATTATGGTTCACTCATTCCTCTGAAAAATAAATGTGAGCACAAAATTCAGTACAGTATAAGAACTCACGAACCTCGTGCTACTTTATTTCCTCTCTGCACATCTCTTGCTTTTCTTTCCTTTCGTTAGACGTAGTCGAATATTTTTGTACCATGTATTGAAAGGGGTTACAGTTGTTAACTGCATTAAAAGTTGCTGTCCTTACCCGGAAAATAAGCTTAATAAGCTTCGCATATTTTTTCAGACCTGCTTTGCTACAGATTTCGGAATGTCACTTCATTAAAATAACAGCGGAATAAACCTGTCATTAAATAGCTCACCCTGATTAGTTTGCAAACCCATGGGACCGATTATTGTAGACGCTGCGTAATTATATTGTCTTATGGAAGAAGAGTAGTAGTGAAATTTTATCAGCAGGTTTGCCGCAACGTTTTGTGTGAGAGGGGATACTTTTTCTATACATAAATAAACCACCGAGCGCGTATAAAGAAAAAAAAACAACATAAAATATATGAATTGTAATATGGGCGGAGGATACAACGTTATTAGCCACTGTAAATTGCTTAGCTATATATATAACAAAAAGTATGTTTGTAACTCAATTAGTCAAGTGGTTTCCACATAACAAGCTAACGTTACCCGTTAAAAAAAACTTACACTCTGTTCCCGCCTCTATGGGAGATAAACACTTTCAAAATGTTTAAATATGTACAAATATGAACGCGATTAGTTCTTGACTACGCCTGTTAATAAGTATTGCACGTAGAATATTTTAGTAAGCGATTCATGTTGATGCTAAGACGCTAGGATTAATATACTTCAACACATATATCTACATCTTCAGTATTGGGTATGATCATGAAGACAAAACTGCAGAATCACCATAAGAAAAGTAGCCAGGATAATTGCGAGTGCAAAATTAATTTTGCATTGGCTATTCCAACCAAACATATAGTGTCTTTTCGCTTAATACGTGATAATGAAGCTGCTTCTATGTTGCGCAATAATATAGTAACCAATACACAATTACCATCGACTGTGCTTCCGCAATCGGACAGATTCACTGATAATGATATGTTGGAAAGTTTTAACATTTTAACGTTTGTTATATTGTATAAGAAAACTTGTGTAGTTCTTCAAGGCAGTGCCTACGAAACTCTGGTACTTTGCGACCCCTAAAAATATATTAAATATCGCGTCCCCAGAGCTCCCCATGCCCCCACCCACCTTTCCCCCGGCTCTTAGCGATGCCACCTCGAGTTTGATTTCAGTGATTGAACAGCAATACATAAAATTTTCGCTGAAGTTTCATTTCATAGTTAATACAGTCAGAAGAAATCAGCTGGCCAGAACCCACTGCAAAAAAAAAAAAATGGCATGTCAGCTGGGATGACTGTTTCCAACGACTAAAGTGAGCTTCGTTCTGAAAACACAATTTCTCCAAACAAAAGCTGAGATTGGGCACCGCAAGCCTCAGCTTTCGCTCGATGTTAAGCTGCATTCTGTACATTGTTTTCATCAACGCAAAGACATATTAAATAAAAGCTTTTTTTAAGTTTTAACGTTGTTTTGCGATTCTCAGTTGAATATGTCGCGATTCCCATTGTGGTTGCGAACCACAGTTCGGGAAACACTGCTTTGAGGGAAGCTTGTTGCGTTTTGTATGCCTAAAAGTTTTATATGCGAATGCAGTAAGGGTGGTAATATGGTTGACTCACACGAGGTTTGCAGTAAGGTTACAGCTACTATGTATATTCACTAAATCCACTAACGCGTGTAAGAAAAATGCATGTACCAATTTCGGAAGGACTATTTACGCGTAAAAACCATTACTTTAAATTGCAATTATTAACGTTCATTAAACATCGCTTGCATAAATCTAACGGCATGTTCCTATAACGCTGGACCAGTACTTACGTGCGTAAAGCGGTGATATTTTAACAAGGTACAGATGTCGGCCCAATGATAATGCTAGAAGAAATTAAACAGGCAAGATCGCTCATGTAATCGGAAGGTGAAGATATTGGTTCTAGACAGAAATGTATTTCCACAAAAGTGTTCAGTTGAACTATTTCAAACCTTTTGGAAAAGGTTTAAATGTATTTGTTACTAAACGTTCTGCAAACTGGAAACAGTATTTTATGCTAGTGGTATTTGCAGCAAGATTTATTGCATACATTGTCGAGGTCTTCTAGATCAGTTCTCTTATAAGTCGCACAGTCGTTAGGAGATTATGGAGCTTGGATAAGTCATGATTTTATGTGCCAGTTCTTGTTTGCAAGGCCTCAAGCCGCAGAACAGGCACCTCGGAGTTTAGTTGCATGCTTACCTTGTGAAGAGCTCCACAGAGAAAAAGACGTATTCTCCGCTTCCTACCATGTTGAGATCGAGCGCTGCCAGCATGATCTCACGAATGGTGTCGGGCGAGGCACACATCAGGATAACTGCACACACAAAAAACAAAAGTAGGTTTGAGCGAAAAATATTGTAATGCAATGACTGTCTGGAAGCTGGAAACAACTCCCAAAGAAGAGTTTTGACTATCGCATACAAATCAAAATTTTGTTGTATCAAATATTCATTAAAATGACTGGAAACTTATGCTTGAATGTTTAGGTGCTCACAATAGAAGTTACACAGATCGACACATTTTGTCGATTACCTGAAAATTGCCAAAACTGCTGGCTGAACGGGAGAAAATTAAATTGAATGTGACAGTACTTATATATTTAAGTACCACTTGAACGAGCGGGCTGGTCTGGACTTATCAAAGCGAAAGCAGAGCATTTTCATTAATGCATTTCTTATTAAATATACGTAGATGGTTTAAGGCGAAGGAGATCAAGCGGATTAATGAATACGCGCTAGGGCTGATTTTGATGTTATCCATAGCGAATTTTGCCTTTTTCTGGAGTTTTATAGGCATTGTTTGGGGAGCGCTCGGTAGAAAATAAATAACTGGTGTTTACTTTTAAAAAAAGTTGCATCACTCGGGTACGCGCACGTCCCTCTTCGCATTTCATCGCCGTCCTCTTGATGCCCGTGGTACAGCGTGAATTTGAAAAGGCTTTCTAGCAAGACGCCATGCCTATTTCGTGCCGCTAAGCCCTCGGGCGACGAACAGCGCTGGACAGTGTACCATCTTGCATCACAAGTATAATAAAAAAAGACGTTTGAGGATTCAAAGGCCTCCTTTTTAATATTATGTTACAATCCATGGTAAATAATTTATGTACATATTGTGAAGTTGTTATCGAACAGAAGAAGAGGAAGCCAGCTGCTGAACGTAAGACGTACTTTTTTCTATCATTTGAAAACATTGACCCACACCCTGTCTCCGATTGACAGGGTTCTCACGCTGCTCTGTTACAAGCTCGACCGAAAGCTGGGAAGATTCGAGGCCGCTTTCGTGAACATCGCCGTCCGGCCAATACCGGCGTTAACGCCTAAGGCCCCACCACGGCGGTGTCGGACTCCTTGCGTCGCTGGAAATTGGGACGGATCGTCTGCGAGCTGGGCACACCGACAGAACTAGCCTGCTGGGTTTCACGTGCCTCATTTTCTTCACCCATTCCACCATCATCATTCCCTCACATGCATCAAGTTATCAAGCCCTCATCACCCGCAACATCAACCCTCACCCTCGCCCACAAGCTCAATTTCAACATCGTCATGCATCTTGTATAATATATCAGCCCATAATCACTCTTACTAGACGCGGCATTGCGGGCCTCTATGATCCGGTCCATCACCTTTCCGCAGGGGCATGGCTCTACCAAGTCGTTAAATATTACTATTTTCATAACTATTAAAAGCACTTCCAGCTCCAGTTTAACGTTTACGGACGCTGATGGAGCGGAAGTGGCCAGCGATATATGTTCTTTTGTTTTGATTGATGTCTGTTCTAAATATGTGTCGATGCCGGTCAGCTCTTGTCCTCTATTAGCAGCCTGTTGTTTTCTTTACAATGTATCCTGTTAATATACATAGTGAAGAAATAGCCAAAACCGTTGAAAACTTAAAAATGGCTTCTTCAGTAGGAACTGGTAATATACACGCTAAATGCTTTTAAAAACACTAAACTGTATTTTTGTATCATCTTACCTAAATTATCTTCTCAGTTGCTTGAACTAGGAGGGCTACAAGGAGACTGGAAAGTGGGTACGCTGATTCCTGTTCACAAAGGTTCCGATAAGCATAATCCTTCAACTTTCGTCCTATCGCTTTAACCAGACTTTCATGTAAAATCCTCGAGCACTTCGTAGTCAACATACAAAAGGTATTTTTTCCTGACACAATTGCTTTTTACAAATTTTGCAGATAGATAGATATATATACAAACGGGCTACTCCGAGATAATGTCTGAGGTAGGTGAGACGAGTCTGCATTGCAGCCAGGCGCGTTCCATCGGTGCTTGTGTCGCGTGCCCGCCGCTCGTGGTGCGGGGCTCCTGCCTCATTTGCTGTGAGTGCGTTGGTGTACGTTGTTCTAACGTGTAGATGGTGTCGCCCGCTTGTTCGCTACAACATAATTTATTCCCAACTGCTCAACTTTCTGGATTCGATTTTTGTTTATTTAAAACATTGCGAAATCGTTTTAAAACGTTGCATTATTCAGTACTCAACACCTCACGTTTAGCCATAATCTTCACGCCACGTTTCAACGGGTTCCAGATTTGATTACATAGTTCTTGATTTCTCAAAAAGCTTTTGATGAGGTTCCTCAAGTCTAAAAAAAAAAGACTTGAGGAGCCTTATCAAAAGCTTTTTGAACAGTTTGTTAGCCTTAACATATGACCCTACGTTCTCGTTGGGATAGAATACTTTCAAAACTAACCATCTCTAACTTGTTCACGCCAACGAAACGAATTATTCATTTTTACGTGTTATCTCCGATGTCCCACAAGGTTTTGTAATACATCCACTGCTCTTCTTTACTTATATTAATGATCTTCCTATCCGTGTCTCCTATTCTATTAGCCTTTTTGTTGACGATTGTGTTATTTACAAATAAATCAGTAACGATTGTGAGAGATATGCTCTTCAGGCCGATATTAACAATGTTACCAAATGATGCCATTAATGAAATATGAAACTTAACATATCTAAATGTAAATCTCTGGAAGTCTATCGTAAAAATAACGATTATCCTTTCTATTTCGTCAATAATTCTATCCTGCTTAGTGTGCCATCCAATAGACCAGTGTCTGGTTTGTTCCATAGTCGCCGCCATGTTTGTTTATGCTAACACCATGACACAGTAGGGGGGCTGCGGTTTTTCGCAAGACTCCGTTTTTTTTAGAAACATTCTCACATATCGTAGTGCAAGAACGTCAGAAATGTATAGTCATAAAGTTTCAAGGACAACACCGATGCCAAGAATGATGTAAAAAGCACAACTCTTGTTTTATGTGCGGCTCCTCTTTTCACCAGAATCTATGCTCGAGGTTATTATTGGCCATTTTTTATCTTTGGGGGCTAGAATTAAGGACACTGGTTTATTAATACCTCGGTGTTCACCTAATTAATGATCTTTCCTCGGAAACCCATGTGGATTGCGTGCCTAACAACGCTAATCAAATATTGAGCCATATCAAAAGAAATGTTTCTCTTGCTCCCGCTTTATTAACACTTCTTATTTATAAACGATTATTTCGTAGTAGACTTAAATATGCAGCGTCAATCTGGGATGGGACCTTGTTGTCACCCTTGCATATGCAATCAAATTCAATCAAAATGATCCGTTTGTTTAATACTTTCTAACTCTCCCCGCACAGCTAGCATTACCTACATGAAAGAATCCTCACCCTTAACTAAGCTCTGCCTTCGTGGAAAAATATCTTGCCTATGTCTGTTTTGAAGATATATTTCACTGTAGAGTAATTGGCGAAGTGTTGGGTTAGCCAACACTTCGATAAAATGTTTTCAGAACCATCTTATATATTATCCCGCACCAATCATCAACTAAAATTTGGAATTACCCCTTGCATCACATCTACGTTTAATGCCTTCTTACGCCAAACCTCAATGGATTGAAATCGCCTTCCAGCACTCATAGTTTCAGTTACATACAAAGTCGATTTTTGAATAACAATTACTTATTTACTAACTAATGTATCGTACTAATGCTTTACTTTTGCATTTCTTTACTCTTATGTTCTTATTACTGTGCCTAAACCTCTGTGTAATGCCATCGGGCCCTGAGAACAATAATTGAAACGAAAGGAAATATAGAGATTAATCTTGTAGATGTCTGGTCTTTGTTTCGATCTATTCCGTGTTTTCGTTCCCATTAGCTTACACCAGGACCCCTAGACCATTTTCGAAACCTGTGTTTCTCGTGTGGTAATCGAATTAGTGGACAACCCTACCCACAATATACCTAGGTTGTATAAAGACAAGTGTTTTCAGGAACATTATTAAATATAATTTCAAACAAACACTCAATGCAGGGCCTTTCTAAGTTAGAGAAAACATTAGCGGTCGACATGTTCTGTATAAGCACTGAATGTTACAATAATACAGAAGTTAAGAAGGTAATATATTGTCTTTTTTTGTTTCTGTCTAATCTGGTACTTCATATCTTAAACTGCAGTTTTACTTTCAGTCGGAGGGGATCTTTATTATGGCCTTACAGAGAAATGCTGTTTTACATCAATAATTCTGACTTATTAAGGGGAAATAAGGCTAACGCAGTCGTAGCATGAAAAACCAAATAGGTGTAACGTGATGGCCAAGAAGCGACAGCGTTCGGTCTTATGCTACCATTTTTATATTTGTTCGCGTTCCCCTGGAGCGCGCTCCCAGAGCGCGTTTCGTCTTCTTCGCCGTGGCGATACTAGCGATCACCACACTATCCCACTTCACGAGGAAGTTGCCGTCCCGGCACTAGGCTTCTCACGCTAGAAGCACTCAATCGCGATACCGCACGGGTCGACTCAATGTTTCTCGTAGCCGAAGGACGTATCGCTCTGCTGGCTTTGCCTGCTGTGGCACGTCTACAGGCAAGTCTGTTGGAGTGACGTCATCAGGGGGCAAAAGAACGACTGGAAGTTGATCGTCGTCCTGGAGTTCGACACCGTTCGCTGGTGGCGTATTGTGCCGGCCTCCGTCAGTGCCCTGGTCACCGTTTTCTTCTACTTGGTCGTCAACGTGAAGCTCGTTGTCGAGGATGTCTAACAGCGGTGGGTTCTCATGAGCGTCGGCCAGGTTCAGATCCTCAGCTGCTTGTACCGGTGGTAGATTTTCGACCGCATCGACGTACAGATCATCACCTTCAATGTCTATTATGTCTTGGTAGTCTGGGACTGCTGGGCGAGTAGGAGTCGGGTCGTTATCTTTGTTTTCTGTGATGATAGTATCGGGGAAGTCTTTGAGTGCTGGTGCAGATAAAGGCAGGTCATTATCCGTGATGTGTGATAACGTCCTGGCAGGCAACAAGACTGGCTCCTTCCCATCGGCTACCCGCTTCAAACGGTTATGGTCTACAACCCGCCGCTTCCTTTTTCCAGTTTCTTCCTGGATTCTGTACACATTGTTAGGAAGCTTCTTGAGGACTACATAAGGACCCAACCATGGCAAATATAAATTCGAGGACTGCCCTCGTGGCAGAGCGGGCGAACGTAGAAGAACTCTGTCGCCAGGTTCGTAGTCTTCTTCACTGGTCGTGCTGTCGTAGTGGCGCTTCTGTGCATCCTTTGCTTTCATGTTGTTTACAATTGCGTGGTCGCGAGCCCTTTGTAATATTGTCACTAGGCGCAATGCGTGTTGTTCATAACTGGGCGTCGACGCCATGTTAGTATGGACGTGCACGTCCAGCAGCATGTCAGCGGGTATATTCATGTGTCTGCCGAAGAGCAGATAATGAGGACTGTAACCAGTCGATTCACGCACGCTCGAGCGATACGACATCATGACGAGAGGGAGCTTGACGTCTCAGTCAGTCTGCGTGTCATTGACGTACGCACTCAAGCTGTTCATCAACGTGCGATTGAATCGCTCAACCAATCCGTCCGACTGGGGGTGGTAAGGGGAGGTCCTTGTCTTTCTGATGCCCAAAATTGAACACATTTCTTGAAAGACGTTGCTCTCGAAAGTTCTGCCTTTGTCAAAGTGTAGTGCTGACGGTATCCCGTAGCGACTGAAGAAGTTGTGGACGAGGCAATTGGCGACCTCCTTGCTTTATTGAGTCTTCAGAGGAAGCGCTTTAACCCATCGAGTAAAATAGTCCCTCACCACCAAGATGTACTTGTGGCCTCTTTCCATCGTTGGAGACGGACCAGTGATATCAATAGCCACTCGCTCAAAAGGGAACACGGCCGCTTCCTGAATCAGTTGTGCTCGTGGTCTGGGGTTTGGTGCCTTACGTAGCCTTGCCCATGACTCAAAGCTTCCTTCACCGGTGAAGACGTCCGGGACAGGTTCGGTGGCCATCCCACCGCTGCCGCCAATTGTAACGTGATGGCCAAGAAGCGACAGCGTTCGGTCTTAGGCTACCCTTTTTATATCTGTTCGCATTCCCCTGGCGCGCGCTCCCAGAGCTCGCTTTGTTTTCTCCGCCGTGGCGATACTAGCGATCATCACACAGGCATAGCCATGTTTGTAAAGTTATCATTCAAATTAAATTCGCCGATTTGAACAATTAAAATCTTAATAAAGCAAACACTCGCGAGCACAACAATCTTCCTAATTTTACTTTAGATACGTTATATATGGTGAGCTGATGGCGAAACCAAAAAAGGACAAGACGGACTGACTTACGGGAATCACTTAGAAATACACGGGCAGTAGTCGTTTTGGAGATTTACGAGAAGTGAAAATGAACACATATAGAAATTTGTCGAAACAATTATTTCAGGAATATTTCAAAGCTGTTTAATACAGCTCGGCTATTGTCCTGATTTCTTTGAGAGGGAAGTCTTCATTTCTTTATTCATATGTCCTGTTTCTAATAGGTTTAGCTGCACACAAAAAGCTACAAATCATTCGGTAATCATCATAAATGTTTAAACAGTGCGATGAAAAGAAAGGTGCAAAGTGCGTCGCGAACTACTTTGTGTGTCGCTTAGTTTTAGTAGGACCTCTTAAATCAAATATCTCTCGACTTCCCTGCATGCTTGTCTGGGTGCTTCCGACAGAACAAAGATTCTAAATGACTAATTTATACAAAAAGCGTATTGACTAGGAAAAATCTTCACCTAACACCTGGGTGTTTTTCTTGTACACGTTTGTTAAATTAGTAGCACTTCGACAGAATCCAAGGTTTTGAACATAATATTTCCACACCACTAAGCATGCATTTTGAAAACTACACATTTGTATCAATTTTCGATTTACCGTGCAATAGAAAAAATAATAGATTGCCTAATTTGGACAGTTTGACGTAATAT